GGATGAGTCCGACGTGTAAGAGGGAGCCCCCCTACCGGGAAATTTAGTTCGGTTTCGGGTTCGTGCCGTGCGTGCGTGCGGGCGAAGCGAAGCTGCATGGGCGGGCGAGGAGAAATTCTCCTGTGGTTGGGCCGCGGCCGCGGCCGGACCGAATGTTTCTCCTCTGGCGGCTGGTGGCCCGCGGTGTCCCGCCGGTGTCCCGCTGGTGTCCCGAGCGCCGGACCTGCAACCAAGGCAGCATCGGGTGGCGCCGCGAGCAGTCACTGTGGCACCGCAGCGCGCACGTTCGACAACGTCGACTAGCGCTGAAGTGAGGTTCGCGCGATTGATAAGCGCACGCGGGGCCAGCGCTTCACGACAATATCGAATGCGTTTCGCCAACATCGCCACATCACATCACGCTCACGTGTACAATCGCACTACTCACTGGACTCCGCCCCACAGGCATCGTCAGAACAACAGTCGCAACTTTTGCTACTCGATACCCCCCAAACCTTTTATCACCCGCGGGGTGGTCGTACAAGTAAATGTATGTGTGTATGTATGTATGTATACATGTATATGTATATGTATATGTATATGTATATGTATAGGTATATGTATATGTATGTATGTGTATATATATATATATATGTGTGTGTGCGTGTGTCTGTTTAAGCTTTCCGTGGGCAAAGTTGAAAGTCTGTTGGGGCCGTTCTGGCCACCGTAGCCCAAAGAGAGTAACTGTTCAATGCGATTTTCCCCCTTGCAAAACCCTAGCAACTTGTGTCTCGGGATCGTCTTGGAACGCGTGATCGCTGATGGCACCATCTAGGTCCCAGCTGAATATCTTGGGCGCCTGGAAGCCCTTCAAACACAAAAATACATAACGCAACAATGAATAATGCGCGGTCCCAAAATATACACCTCTCCAATCGCCATGGGGGAAAAAAAACCTTCCGCGCGCCCGCCCCTGCAAAGGTGTCACTGCCTGTTCCCACCAAGCGCAAGTACTTGCCACGTGGACACGCGCGCAAATGGCGGTCGCATTCGGCCGTCGTGAATGTATGGCTCTTAGCGCATGCGACAACGTGCCCAAATGACGCTGCACTTTCAACATGCCAGTATCCCGAGAGTTGACGCATCCTGCAACAATTTTCCGATTCGTTTTTCTCCGATCTCCTTTTCCTCCTTTTCTTGCTGCCTTTCATCCTCCCTCTCGTCTTTATATGTATATTCTTCCTTCGTCTCCTTGTGTTTGCCTATTCTGAACGTTGCGGTGTTTTGTCGGTGCCGTTTTGGTTTTGCTCGTTCTCCTGACATTTTGCTTCGAACTTGTATCTACAACAATGTACAGACGTAAAACAAGAGTCCCACCAGCCCTCTGGGCGTAGGTGGTTTAGGGAGTTTCCTCTTCCATCTTCCCTTCTTCCCCTTCGGGGAGGGGTTAACCCCTCCCCCTGACCCCCTCCCCTGGACCTGGACGGGCCCGGTCGCGAACGGTCAGAGTGTCCAAGGTGGCCCAGGATGGCTCCATGAGCGCCTCGGATAATCCAAGATGACTTCCAAGATGGCTCAAGATAGCCTAAGATGCCGCAGGATGGCTCCGAAGATGCTCCAAGACGCTCTCATAACGCTCCAAGACAGCTCAAAGAGGCCAATTATCTCCCCAAAAAAGGCCCCCCCAAAAGCCAAAATCCTTCAAAAACCTGAGGAAGACCAATGATTTTCGGCTTCTCGCCTTTTCGCATCCGATGGTCATCTGAGGCCTCAACTTTCTCCAAGAGGGGCCAAGGAGGCCCGCCCCAAGAGGGGCCCAAGAGGCCCCAAGACGGCCCCAAAAGCGCCCAAGAGCGCTCCAAGAGCGCCCCAAGAGGGGTCCAGGCGGCTATTTTGGGAGCTTCCGAAGGGCAGGGTTAATTAGGGAACCCCACTTCTTTGATCGATCGCTTCCAAAATGGCCCCAAAGGGCGCCCAGGAGGCCCCCAAAGGCGCCAAGATGGCCCCAAAAGGCCTCCAAGAGGCTCCCAAGAGGGCCCCAAGCGGCCCCAAGTGCCCCCCCCCCGGACGCACCCAAGACGCCCAAGAGCCCCCATTGACCGCCAAGAGACCCCCAAGACGCCCGAAGAGGCTTCCAAAAGGCTTCCAAGAGGCATCCGAACGGCATTCAACCATCCACCCAGCGTCATCTTTCTCCTCATCCCTCCTTCGCTCGGTTCCCCGCCACCCCCTCATCTATCCATCTGGCCTCCTCTTCCACCTCATCCTTTGCACGGATCGGCTGTCCCTCTCGTTGCTCCCCCACTTCCCTGATCTCTTCAACTTGCCTGGACCTCGTTTCTGGATGGGCTGGTGGGGATATTTTCTTTGTTCGGCGGCTCGAAGGAGAGGTCCAGCGAGCGGGGCTAACGTTCGATGGTGGGGATACGCGAAGCGTCAAGAATTTGATCGGGCGTTGCCCTTGGGGTTCTCGGTGGCATCTCGATCTGTTGTTGTTCCCTGATTTCCGTCTGCCGAATCTAAAAAACGCGTAAGATAATCAATTGTCCCCGTTCTCTTTTCTCTCTGCCGTGGGATCCAGAATCAGAAAAAGTATCCTGGCAAAGCAACCTAACAGCGACGTGTAGAAGCACAGCTGGAAACATTGCCTGTGGTATTCATGTAAGAGTGCTGTTGTAAAAAATCGTGTTCTCGCAGTCGCATTCGGATTCGCAGTGGCACTCGCAATGGCAACATCAGCGGCAGTCGCGGTGGCACTGCCAGTAGTTGCAGTAGCAATAGCTACACTAGCAGCAGCAACCGCAGCAGCAGCAGAAATAATAACAGTAGTAGTAGCAGTAGAAGTAGTAGTGATGGTAGTAGTGGTAACATTGAAGTAGTAGTTGTAGTGTGTGGAGTGAACGAGTAGGAGGCCCGTTGTAGTGTGAAGAAACGTTTGGCCAACTTGTTTTCGGCCCGTTCTTGTTCGGACGTTCCTTTATTTCGCTTCGGTATCCGGCCGAACTGCTTCACGTGCTCGACGAGCGTTTGCAGAGGACCGCTCAATGCAGCACGCTGAGGAGCAGCGCTGTTCCCTGCCGCAGGCTGAGGAGCACCGCTGTTCAATGCAGCAGGGTCAGGAGCACCGCCGCCAGACCGAGAACTATCAGCATGTCCTGGCATTAAGGTGCGCAGTAGGCGCTGCGCAGTTCCTTTGAAAGGAAATCTTCGAAAGCAGGGCTGTAGCCAAGAAGGCTACGGGGACGATGATGATGATGAAGATGATGAGTCTTGGAAGTCTGGGAAGTGGAAGAGCACGAGGTGGCGTACAGTTGGCTCCGGGCGTTCAAAATGTGGCCCGGGAGTGGAGTTCTGGGAAGTGGAAGAGCACGAAGTGGCCTACAGTTGGCTTCGGGCATTCAAAATGTGGCCCGGGAGTTGTGTTTTGGGAAATCCAAGACCACGAAGTGGCCTACAATTTGCTCCGGGCATCCAAAATGTGGCCGGGGAGTGGAGTTCTGGGAAATCGAAAAACACGAAGTGGCCTACAGTTGGCTCCGGGCATCGAAAATGTGGCCCGGGAATGGAGTTCTGGGAAGTCGAAGAGCACGAAGTGGCCTACAGTTGGCTCCGGGCATTCAAAATGTGGCCCGGGAATGGAGTTCTGGGAGGTCGAAGAGCACGAAGTCTGTGACTGTTTGCTTAAAACGAGCCTGGTCCTCGCCTGTCCGGCTCCCGCCAAGACCCCCTCTGGGGAGTCATCAGATGCTGTCTTTTGACCCCATTAGAAACCTATCAGTCTTCGCTGTTAGGTAACAAGTGGAGTTTCGAACACGGGCTCACGGGCTACGGGGAGGGGGTGCGTGAACGATTTCGCCAACGCACCCCGTGGGTTTCCGGAACCTCCAAATCTACAGCAAAACACGTCCACAGCAACAAGTGTCATCTTTCATGTGCATGACTTTCTCCCTCCTCCGTCGCCTCCTCACGTCCCTGGTCGCAGCAATACAGTCCTCGCCATGGCCGCAACAACGAAAGGCGTGCTCAGAACCAGCTTGCGGTTACACGTGTAACGTTTCAGAACATGCGTCCTGCATTTTGGCTACCCGTCCGCACTACGTGCGGTGTTTTGACTGAGTATCATACTGTTGAAAGAGAGCTGCGGTAAAACCTCATACATGGATTCGTAACCGTCTTGAGGAAACAACATTGTGAGAATCTACGCGGTCGTTGTTCTATTCACGTCAACCAGATAGATTGAAAGAAACTTGCCTCGTGTATTTTCCGATTGCTTCCGACAACGCACGGCGGCGGACAAAGGTCTTCATACCGTTACAAACAGTGAGCATCGGAAAACAGTTAAAAGCCATAACAAAACAAACAACACAAAACAACTTATCACGAGCAATCGTTTCCATTTTGTCTTTGTAAAAAAAAAAAAAACGTTCTCTTGAATTGAATTTTCGCCGAGGGCCTTGGCGGCGCGTATGTCTTGTTTAAACCAAGATTGCCACTGGCACAAGGAATTGCGCTAACATGCCTGTCGGTGCAAACCACGACCCTTCTCTTGCGACGGCGACAACATATCCGCCAGGCCGGCACACAGGAGACGGGCAGTGACGAGGCGGCGACGGAACGGCGACGGCGACAGACAACATAGCCGCCACCATACCTCCACACAAGCTCAGTTCCTTAGAAAAAAAAGGACACCCGAATTGCAAACGCTGATGGGGGAATCGAGATTACCTCCTTCATCTCCTTCCCCCTCTTCCCCCGTCGCTGTCTGTTAGCAATGTTGATTGCCATTGACCACCAACTTTCCTTAAACCGTGCATAGTTTGTCAAATGTGCAGCGCTGCTTTTGGTATATTGCCCAAGACACACGCGTTGACGTTTACGTCCTTTTTTGTTTGATACAAGCCGTCAGGGCCTGGACAAGTCTTCGTGGCGCTCTCCAGAAACATGTTGCTTCACAGATCAACGAGCAAACAATCTTCAACGTTCAAGTCTTGTGGTGGGAACGGACGACACGACACCTTGTTTCCAGGCTCGACGCGGGCCCTCCCTGGGAGGAATCGGGCGCGAGCGCGCCGCCGCGGCGAGGCCCCGGCAGCGCGCAGGAGAGGCGCGCGGGCGTGCGCCTGCCCCAGCGGGCCCAGCAGCTCCGCGACCGTCGCGCTCGTGGCGGTGTTCGCCGCCGCGTCCGCCGCCGCCATCATTGCCTCTGCTGCGCCGTCGTCGTTGCCCAGCCCTGCCGTGCCGATGTCCGCCCCGCGCTGCAAGCACGCCGCCCTCCCCAGGCTTGTCACTGGCTCGGCTTCTTACGCAAGGTCTGCTCGAAAAGCTTGTTGACCACTGCCGCGTCGCCCTTGTTGGTGAAGTGGGTCGTCCTGAAGCCTTTCCGGAAGCCTTCGGCAGTGTCTCCTCGCAGACTGGCACCCTTCCTGCACATCTGGCCCACGGGCGGATGTATTTCTGCGTTCGCTATGTTGCAGAAGCTGAACGCGAGACAGAAATCAAAGAAACACCAGCCTCGCGAGAGGTACTCCTTGCCCCTTGCCAGTAGCGACCTCGCCGTCCATGGGAAGCACGATGACGGGAGTGTTTATCATGCTGTAAATGAGCTCCATCGAGCCGAGGGCCTTCGTGAAAAGCGCCTCTTCCGCCTCTGTGCGAACTGCACGGTGCTCACCAGGCTTTTGCAAATTGTCTGCCTCCTCCTGGTTCTCGAAATCTGGGTCCGATGTGTCGTGCTGCGGAAGGCCCGTGATATCGATGAAGGCGAAGGCGTCGTCGTCGTGTGCGCCCAGCAAACCCAACTGTCGCACCAACATCTGCAGCTTCGCTCCGCTGGGATCGGGATGCTTCTTCGATAGCCAAAGATGCGCGCGACAGGACGAACCTGTGATTGGGATCACCCCTGTCGGCCGGAAACCCCGAGCGGCCGATGACGTCCTCGTCAGCAGGCACATCCTGGCGGCGCACCATGATGGATCCAGACTCAGCAAGCCGCCGAAGGTATCCGAATCGAGCCCACTTGACCTGGGCGTGATCAAGGTAGGCCAGAAACTCATCGTAGCACACCTGCAGCTCCTCCGCGCTGTAGCAGTTGATGCGTTCGAAAGCCTGTACCGCCAGGTGCAGCACCGACCGTGGCCCGGCGAGGTCGGAGAGAACGGCCACCCGCAGGCAGTTGAACCCGTTGTTGACGGCTTGGCCCCAGGAGTAGGCGAACCATGAATAATCGTGCTCATCGGTGCGAGCGGCCTCGGCCAGGAGGAGCACCTCCGCCAGAGTCAGCAGGTGCGACGCCGCGACCAGCGCGGCCGTCCTGGCCACCCGGCGCGCCGCCTGCGCCGCCCCTCCGCGCCCGGAGCGCGCCGCTCGCGCGGCGGCGGCCAGCGGGCCCCACGCCCAGCAGCAGGTCGCAGCCGACCCAGCGAGCCCAATCACCAAGAAGCCGGGGCCAAGAATCCGCGAGAGCGCCGCGGTCACCAGCCTGGCGCCCGGGCGCGGCGTGCCAAGGGCAGCAGCGACATAAGCCACGGTCAAAGCCGCGCAGCCTGCCGCGCCCGCCACGAGCGCGGCGCGGGCCGCCCGCGCCAGGCGCCGGAGCCCCAGCGCGCACAGCTTCAGCACCAGCAGGTGGTACAGGAGGACCAGGGTCGCGAGGTAGGCCCCATTGGCCAGCGCCAGGCACGCGCTCTGCCTCGCCACGCCCGCCGCGCTGTGGCACCCAGGGTCCAGGGCGGGCCAGGCGAGCCGGGCGGCCGCGGAGACGGCGACGCACGCCACGAAGCGGCGCGTCCACGCGTGCAGCGGCACGCCGGGGCGGGAGCGCCCGCGCACGGCGACGCACCAGGCCGCCAGGGCCACGCACGCCGGCGCGTACAATGAGTGCAGGGCTACCAGGAGGCCCAAACTCGCGGCCGCTCTCGCCGGCGGACCCGCGCCAGCACGGGCCCGCCAGGTGCAGGCGGGTCGCGGCGGGCCCGCCGAGGGCCAGCAGTGCCAGGGCGAGCAGCGTCAGCCGAGCGGCGAGCCGGCGCCGCGTGCCCTCCTGCGCTTCCTCGTCGCTGTCGGCGTCGCCCTCGTCCGCGGCCAGCGGCGGCGCGGCCCGCGCCACGCCGGCGGCGCCCGCCGCCTCGGCGCGAGGCCCGCTCGGGGCCTGCGGCGCCACCGGCGGTGAGACTGGCGCGCTGCCGCAGCCGGGCTCGCTCGCGACCTCCGGGCGCGCCGGCCGGCCATAGAGCTGCGGCGGGGCCTGGGCGTCGCCGGCGTCCTGCTGGCGCCGCCCGCGGACCGCCTGGAGGATGGCACCTCCGTTCGCGGCCAGGAAAGACGAGCCAACGCTCGCGGCCCTGGTCCGACCTCCTCTGCAACAATGCCCCCCGCGCTGGCGACCAAGCTCGGCAAGGAGGACAACACGAGGGTCAGGAGGAGCACCCTGGAGCAGACCCGTGTCTCTGGAACGCGCAGGGCGAACGGGGCATCCCGAACACCAGCGGCGTCTTTCTCCTCGCGGCGTCGCTGGCAGACTGCCCCAGCAGTGGCACATACTTCCCCCGCGGGGTGGCGCACGAGCGTCATTTGGGCACTCGGGTCGCTGGCGGCCATCTCGCGAGCCAGTGCAGCGCCGAGGAGGTGTTCACATGCTGCCCCTTCCCGTCGGAGCTCATCCCGCGAACTATCCAAAAGATACCAGGTGCCACGACTGAACTAATCACGTGGCTTATGACCTGATGCAAATTGCTTTGGATATGTCGACGACGGCACAACGATCATACAAGTAAAATCATATGTTGTTCTAGCATTCAAAAACAAACCGACAAAATCGGCCGACCCCCCACTTACACAGGGTCCACTGGCCGAGACACTTGGCGTGCGAGACATTTGGCCGCTCCACTCCCTGCCCCTCCACTGGGGTCCAAAATCGCGTTCGAGGGGGTCGGGGTCGCGAAGCCTTGCCAGACCCGGGACGGTGGAGGGCAGAAAAAAGGGAATCGCCCCAACGTGGCTGCCAAAGCCGAGTCTGCCAAGTGTTGGCTGACACCCGTTAGCGCCGACCCCCGTTACGTGAGACCCGAGGGTGGGGGCACGAGCTCCCCGGCGCACATCCTGGCCCTCGGAGATTCGAAATCCACCCGCCGCGGCCTGCAAGATGCCCGAGGTGCCTCCAGGATGGCTGAATAATGTCTTCGACGCGCCAGTGGGGCGTCGCGAACATCCAATCTGGCCTCAAGACGGCCCAAGAGTTCTGGGAAACGCCCACAGAGGGCCTAAGATGACCCACAAGACGGCCTCACTGCTCATAGGTCACTCATTGCGCAACTGATTTTCGCACTCTCGCATCTTCCAAAGGCTCGGAACCCCGAGGCGGCCCCAGAAGTCTCGCAGGTTGGCCCAAGACGACCGAAGAGGCCCACAAGAGAGGCCAGAGATGGCCAAGAGGCCACCGAGACGGCCAAAAAGCAACCAAGAGGACTCCAGCCCAGGAGGCCCAAGAAAGGAAATTTGTCATGGCCCAGGGAGCCATCCCCCGCAAGATGACTCCCAAGACTCCCCAAAGAGACCCCCAAGCAGCCCTCAGAGGGCCACCAAGCACCCGGGAGCCTTGAAGAGGCTCGAAAGGGGCTGCCCCGGATGCATTCAAGAGGCCCGAGGCATTCAAACTGGACATACTGCACGCGGGCAACACGACGGGACGCGGCAAATTAGCCTGGCGAAGGACCCAACCATCTGCAGTTGGGAGTACCGTCGTTGCATGCACCGCATTCGCAAGAGCTCCCTATAGGGCCACGAAACGTGTGAGTGGTGTGCCAATACTTGTCCTGTGGGCGCATGCGAACGCAGCCACTGGGGCCGTCGGTGGAATTCCCTGTGGGGCTACGAAACGCGTGAGAGGTGTGCCGAAATAGGTGCGGTGAGCGCATGCGAACGCAAACATTGGGGCCGTCGGTGAAGCTCCCTGTGGGGCCACGAAACGTGTGAGCGGGGTGCCGAAATGGGTGTGCGTGACGCATGCGGGCGGTGGCACTGGGGCCTTCGGTGGAGCTCCCTGCGATGCCACGAAACGCGTGAGGGGTGTGCCGAAGTGGGTGTTCGTGACGCATGCGGGCGGTGGCACTGGGGCCTTCGGCGGAGCCTCCCTTTCTATGGGACCACGAAACGCGTGAGGGGCATGCCGAAATGTGTGTGCGTGACGCATGCGGGCGGTGCCACTGCGGCCTTCTGTGGAGCTCCTCATGGGTCACGAAACGTGTGAGCGGTGTGCCGAAATGGGTGTGCGTGACGCATGCGGGCGGTGGCACTGGGGCCTTCGGTGGAGCTCCCTGCGGGGCCACGAAACGCGTGAGGGGTGTGCCGAAATGGGTGTTCGTGACGCATGCGGGCGGTGGTACTGGGGCCCTTGGTGGAGCTCTCTATGGGGCCACGGAACGTGTGATGGGTGTGCCGACATGGGTGTGCGTGACGCATGCAGGCGGTGGTAATGGGGCCTACGATGGAGCTCCCTGTAGGGTCACGAAACGTGTGAGGGGTGTGCCGACATGGGTGTGCGTGACGCATGCGGGCGGTGGCACTGGGGCCTTCGGTGGAGCTCCCTGTGGGGCCACGAAACCCTGGTGACGGGAGGAGGGAGGAGGAGGAGGAGGAGGGAGGAGGAGGAGGAGAGGAGGAGGAGGAGGAGGAGGAGGAGGAGGAGGAGGAGGGAGGAGGAGGGAGGAGGAGGAGGAGGAGGAGGAGGAGGAGGAGGAGGAGAGAGGAGGAGGAGGAGGAGAGAAGGAGAAGGATGAGGAGGAGGGAGGAGGGGGAGGAGGAGGAGGAGGAGGAGGAGGAGGAGGAGAAGAGGAGAGGAACGCGGGGACCGTATCTTGAAAAGGACGACCCAACACCTCACGGTGGTAGGGAACAACGCATATGACATCGGAAACCGTACATTTCACCTTCTGAGGGTCGGCGGCACAACGTACGTCTCTAGACTCTGGGGAAACCATCAGCCGGTGGAAACAACAAGCGGCCGGTCAACTTCACTGAACAGAACTGGCAAACTGCTACACAATACAATGTCGGGGGCTACATGTCTTGCCAAGTCTTCCCCCGTAATTGAGTACATCCAATTCTGCGACGCGCCCGTGACTTGGAACTTGAACCTACGTTTTGGTCTCCACCTTCCTCATGAGAACTCAAGTCCTGGAACTTGACTGCTGTCGTCATGTTTCGGGCGACTGTTTCGTTGTTTGCAGTCTTCGTTCGTTGACAATGACCTTGCCATTCTTCACACAAGATCCGCCGCCCTCGGTCTGAATATTTTGTCTTGCGAAACACTTTACAGCCACAGAGCCAAAGTACGATGACCTTTCGTTGCTTCTCTGTGGCCGTTCGATGGCCATCGTTTGCGCCATAACGCCACTGCGAGCTGGAAGCGTGGCTGGCGCTAACGCCCTCCGCAGTTTGAGATCACAGTCCACATACTGGAACATGGAAAGCTATCAAAGTGGGAGCGAACGGATACACTGAATGTTTCTCAGAGTAGGTCGACTCAACGGCGCAATCGTGTATCGAAGAGAGTGCCGGGCAGCGAGACCGACAATGGCAGCACGCCCAGTTCTTGTCCCCTCCTTCTTCCAACCCTTCGGGGGCCCCTTGAATGTCAGGACGAGGACAAGGACGACAAGGGAGAGGTGAATGGCACCAGGTGGGCGAACGTGCTTGCCTCAGCACGACAGGGAGGACGATGGCGGGGGCGATGAGGAGGGCGAGGACGAGGACGAGGACCTGCCTCAAACTCGACCTCACAATCACTCCCAGAACCCATCCTGACCAGAATTTCGAAGGCGGATCTGGCCGTGGCGTCGAGGGCCCCAGACGCCGCCCCCCCAAAAAGCGTCATATTATATATATATATATATATATATGTAACAAAACCCTGCACCCTGGATCCTCGGTCCTCGACTCCTCGCACTCATCACGAGGACTGCGAGCAGAAGGATGAGGAGTGCGAAGACAAACAACCGACGAGGACGATGAAATCGAGGACTGACGACGACGACGACGCCGACAAACGAACACGACCTCGTCTGCATGCCGCCGCTGCTCTCCCCGTCTGCCGACACCCCGCCGACGCCGACTGACCGCACTTCGCGGCCGCCGCCGATACCGACAGACAGACGACGACGGACCGACCGCTGACTGCCGCCGCCGCCGACAGACCGACGACGGACGCCGCGCCCAAAGCTAGAGTCATAACACAAGCTGGGTAAACATGAACTTTCGGAGCTCCGCGCGGATCTCTTGGATCTGCGCTGGATCCCCCCTCCCTGGCGCGTGGGGCGCGCCAGGGGCGGCGCCAGGAGGTCCAGCGCAGATCATCGAAGAAATCCGCGCGGTGCTCCGAAAATTCATGCAATGCAATTTTTTCGGTGCTCTAGATATGCAACTTATTGAAATTCTTATGTTTTCTGCGATCGGCGACCACGGAACGACGACCTCCTCTGCCGCAAGAGGCGCCTGCTGCCGCCGCCGACCGACTGACGACGGACGCCGCGCCCGCGACGACGACTGACGCCGCGCCCCGTCCGGGGACGGAGTCGACGACGACGACGATGACGGCGGCGGCGGCGACGGCGGCGGCGGCGACGGCGGCGACGACGGCGGCGGCGACGGCGACCGACCGACGACGACCTCCTCTGTCGCAGGAGGCGCGCTCTGGGCTCCGGCCAACCGCCGCCGCGACGGCGGCGGCGACGGCGGCAGCCTCCGCCGCTGCGGCAGCGGCAGTGCCCGCGCCTCGTCTCCGGGGGAGGCCACTGCCGCCGTCGTCGTCGTCGTCGTCGTCGTCGTCGTCGTCGTCCTTCTTGACTCCGTCCACAAACATGCTCGCGTCGTTGGAAAATCACGACGGGAGGCTTTTGGCCGTCTTCAGCTTCTGGGGACCCTCGCTGGCGACTCGCCGGGCCCCGGGACCGTCAAAGAAGGACTCCGGATGAAAACGAGTCCTGGGGAAAGGGTCGGGACCCACAGAGGCCCGTTTTGAAAACATCAGGACATCGCAT